GCGAGGAATTTGATGGAGGGGTGGTGGGGGTGGGGGGATGAGGTGTTGAGATTCCAGGGGGAGGAGTTTTGGGTTGATGGTTGTGAGGATGAGGGGGGAGAGAGGGGGGAGTTGAGTTGATAGAAGTTTGTTGATTTCATGATCTTGGATTTCATTGCCCATGGGTATCATCCATGTATACATACATAAAATACAATATTTTACAAACTGAAAAAATTATATCTTTACATTCTGCTCTACTTCCTCCCATTCCCCGTCTGCATCTTCCTCCACTATCTCGTCTTCATATTCGTTATCGTCTCGTCTCCACTCCTTCTTTCCTTCCAGTAACTCCTTTGCCTGTTCCGCGATGCTTTTGCGTTCCGCTGGTGGCTTGGAGGCACCACCCGGTCCCTGTGCATCTCGTGCTTTCTTGTTGGCTTTCTCTCTTTTCTCCACGAAATCCTTATCCCACCTAAGAAAAAAGTACAACAATTAGCAATTGATTCCATCCCATCCAAGATATCTCTCTCCACCCCAGATTCCCAAGGAATCTACGTTTTTATATATCGAATAAAAGAAAAAACGTACTGCGAAAAATCCTCCGGCGTCTTCGGCCACACAAAAGGATCATCCATCTCCACCATCATCTTCTTAATACTCCTCGGGCGATGCCAACGTCGTGGGGAAACCCTCTTCGCGTTATTCTTGTCCTGCTGCACCTTCTGCATCTGGATGTACGAACGTACGCTCCGCACTGGGATCCCGTAACAATTATATAGGTAATCGCGCAGGTCGAGTTTATTGAGATTCAGAGGCACGAGGAAGGATGCGAAGTGTGGAGACAGCTTGGGGTCGTTGAGGAGGACGATTCGGAAGTTGGGACTAGATGCGTTAGTGTGGTGGTGGTGAGGAGAATTGGGGGAGAGGTACAGGTATAGGGCTTTTGTGCCCATCCTGGGGGCTTTTGTGATGTGTCTGGTAGCCATTGCGGGGTTAGGAAGGGGGTGGGATTGAGAGCAGTGGTTAATGTGGTTTATGGACTTCTCGTTGATATCTGAAGCTCGCAGATAGAAAATAAGCGCGCGGGACAGAAAATCGTCGCGGTTAATCGGAGCTTGGTCGGAGATGCTCAGCAATCCTACCTCGGGCCAGAATCTGCATCGGAGACTTCGGCGTTAAGGTGAGATAGAGCGTCATGGAAGCATTGAAAAATGAGGGGCAATGTTGCGCGGAATCGTTCAGGGCAAGAGGAAAGACCAGGGCCACCAGCAAAGAACCAATCGCCTAAGGGAAAGAGAGCAAGAGATATGTCAGTGCCCCACCAAATCCCTCACCTGCAGGTGAAGGCGCATTGAGATTCGCATCATTGTACTCAGTAATCGTAATCTACCTACATAAAGTGCTGCCCCTCCGATTGCGTGGGACGAAATTGCTCTCAATACCACACCACACCCCCCCCNCCCTTCTCAGGACATCCACCATCTTCACAATCTATCGAAGCTTTGAAACACCATAGGGAACTCTCGAGGGTATACAAACTCTATCAAAATGGCATCCAATCCACCAGCTGCCTGTTGCACTATTGGTGTCAAGCATGAGTAGGTCCCCCTCTCCCCCCAATCCATCTCTATCCTCACATTCTTCCCTCCTCACAGACAATTATATCACTTTCATGACCATCAGCTAACGCCCTCTCCAGTGGCGAGGCCACTGGCTCTACCTTCAAGATTGGCAGCATTGAAGCCTACGCCGCAGAACCATCTGGCAAGAACGTCCACAAAGATACCGCCATCCTCTATATTCCCGACGTTATCGGCATTTGGCAGAACAGCAAGTTGATGGTGGATCAATTTGCCGCAAACGGCTACTACACCCTCTTGATTGATGTGTTCAATGGCGATGCTCTCACTCTTAATAAACCTGAGGCTTTCGATTTCATGTCCTGGATGACTAAAGGAACCGGCGGAAATAATGGACACACGACCAAAGAGGTAGACCCAATTGTTGAAAAGGCCATAGCTTTCTTGCAGGAGAAGGGATACAAAAAGATCGGAAGTGTCGGATATTGCTTCGTAGGTGCACTCCCAGATGTATCCTTACCTTCTGTGGACTAATTTACTGTAAATAGGGTGCTAAATATGTTGCCCGATATATGGCCAAAGGCAAGGGCATCGATGTTGGATATATGGCTCACCCTTCGTGCGTATCACCGCCAGTCTAAAAATTCCTGAGACGCATCAACTAACGTTACCCCAGGTTCGTTGAAGAGGCTGAACTTTCTGCCATCACTGGTCCTCTGTCTATTTCAGCAGCAGAAACGGACGATATTTTCCCAGCTGATAAGCGCCACAAATCTGAGATTATTTTGAATGACACCAAGTTACCATATCAAATCAACCTCTTTAGCGGTGTCGTCCACGGCTTTTCGGTCCGTTGTGATACCAGCAAGAAGGTTGAGAAATTTGCCAAGGAGCAGGCCTTCTTGCAGGCAGTCACATGGTTCGATGAGCACTTGGTCTGACTATTTGAAACAAATCAGATGTCGAGGTTGTAAATGGGGCCAGCATTTGACTTTGACTTTCGGGACCAATTTAGGTTTGACCCCTCTCCTGGTGGACAATTATCGATTATCATGGGATGAACGTTTTGATAGCAAAATACCGGTATGACGAAATGAAAACAAATTACAATACGATTTTCATATGGAGTGAGTTGATTTTCGGAGTTCCTCTGTATTGTTCTTTGCCGTGGCGAGGGTTCTTGCCTGTGGTGTTTACAGTGTACCTAACTATACTTTGTTACGGTAATCAATCGTCTCAAGGCTTTGATCCACTTTTACCACCACTTCGGATGGGTAATGGATTTGGTGAGTACGAGAACCCAAGCTTTTCTCCGAGGTCGCACCCCAGGAGAATGATTCCCCATATAAACTCTTATTTACTGCATGTAGTGGGGAGATGATTCCTACTTGGAAGTATATAATGATGCTAGGGCGCCACAATGTAAACTCCATCGCGAATCTTATCGTTCACGAAGTCACTCATTTTTTATTTGCTTTTGGAAAATGCTTCCTCACGCTCTCTTGTTGGCGCTCGCTACGGGCGCCGTCGCCTATAAGAATGCGTTCATGATTGAGGAGTCGGCCAACTCGGCGCCGTTGGAGAAATCGGTGAGTACGCATATACGATGTGACAAACATATGCTTATCGGTGCTAGGTTCTGGAAACAACTCTCGGTTGTAAAGTTGCTCCCCGCAAAACTTTCAATGCCCCGGTGATGACAGGTCAATCTTTCGACGTCGATTGTGGTGACAAATACCCGGGCGAAGCTTCGCATGTCACGAAAAAGCTCCTCAACTTGCTGAATGGTATTGAATCTGTTACCAAGGCTTGGGAAGTTAAGTATTCGAAGCCTCCGCGGAAGTTGGACAATAATCATCCGCCGCCCACTGCGGATAGTAACAAGAAGAGGAGCGTAGGGAAGAGGCAAGAGCCAGGTCCTGCTGTTCCGATTTCTACCCCACCGCCATTCGCACCACACGTCTCTACGGGCGTCGACAAAGTCCATGCTGCGGGCTTCACTGGGAAGGGGAGGAAGATTGCTATCATCGATGGTGGTTTCAATGTCGAGGGTGTTCCTGGTCTGGAGAAAACCTCGATCGTTCATGTCGAGAACTTTGTTGATCGCTCCAGTTCGACGGTCTCAGATAATTGCTCATGGCATGGCACGCATATCCTGGGCATCCTGGGTGCAAACAGTGCTGAGAAGAAGTTTGGCGTCGTGGGAGTCGCGCCTGATGCTGATTATGAGCTTTACGACGTTCAGGCATGTGGTGAGGGGGCGCCGAGTGATCGTCAGATTGAGGCTATGCTCTTTGCGGTCGAGCGGAAGGTGGATGTTATTAGTATGTCCATTGGTGGAGCATTGGCATATCCTGACGGTCAGTGATATTCCCCCCCTTTTCATGTTCGGTTTCTTTGCGTTTGCTGACGTTGTTGGGTAGATCCGGCTTCTGTTGTTGCTAGTCGAATTCATAAGAATGGCACTTTCGTCGCGTTCTGCAATGGAAATGGAGGTCCTGGGGTTTTCAGTGCGGTTTCTCCTGCCGGCGGTGAGTTTCTCACTTCGGTAGGTTCCACTGATGCTGCCAGCACACCATATAATACATGGCGTGGAACGGTAAGCGACGGGACCGATTTCCGCTATGTACCAGGACAGCCACAGAATCTGCCCTTTGGTGGCAAACCTCTCACGTTGTGGTTCCCAGCCGATGCGGAGAAATTGGATCTCCCACGAAACACATGCGTTCCTCTCCCCGAAGGTTCGCAGTTGCCCAAGGACCCGGCCAACACGATCTTGATGATTGATTTCCTCCATTGCTGGAGTAGCACTAGCAATGGCACCACCACGCCCATCACGGCCGATTTGGGCATCAAACATGTCCTTTACTACCAGCCCGAAGAATTTAGTGGCGACGAGTATGGACTGCAGTTCTGGGAAGCCTACAGTTCTGATGCACTTGACGGCGTCGCACTCGTCTCCCATGCGAAGGCCCTGGAATTAGCCGAAAAGCTCGCTAAGGATCCTGCGCTGAGCATCTCCTTCCCAAAGGAGCTCGACCACAGAGTCGACTTTAGTGAGAATCTTTGGACTGGAGATTCCATGTCGCAGTTTTCTTCCTGGGGTCCTACCCTCGATGGGAGAATGTCACCCACCATCTCCGCACCCGGAGGCAATATCCTGAGTGTCTTTCCCCATTTCCTCGGCGACTGGGCGGTCCTCTCGGGAACGAGTCAATCTACTCCTTTCCTCGCCGGCGTCGCAGCTCTCCTGCAGCAGAAGTTCGAGGACGTGAAGCCCTCGCCCGCCGAGATCCAGGATATCATGACCCTCTCGGCCAAAACGCTCAACTTCAACGACGGCAAGACGAAGTCCGACTTCCTCGCGCCCGTCCTCCAGCAAGGTGCCGGACTCGTGAATGCCTTGATAGCCACGCAAATGCAGACGAGAGTCAGCGTCTCGCAGTTGAACTTCAATGATACCGACCACCGCCCTCTCTCTTTGAAATTCCGACTCAGGAATGTAGGAGTCAACACGACGGACTATAGCATCAGTCATCTAGCCGCTGCTTCGGGATACATTCTCGAGCCCTTCGGCCAAAAGAAAGACTACCAACTAACCGCCAACGAAGCCCGCGAAGCCCCCGCCCTCCTCAACATCACCCCCGACAAAGTGACTCTAGGCCCCCAGTCCGAATCCGACATCACCATCTCCATCGCGTCCAACCCGGACCTCCCCGATGCCGAAGCCCGCGGCGCCTTCTTCGGGGGCTACATCGCCATCCGCGACGGCGCATCGCTCTTCACCCTCCCCTACTCGGGCTTCGGCAGCTCCCTCAAATCCCTCCCCATGATCGACCAAAACGCCACGCGCATGGTGCAAGCCAACGAGTCCGCCTCCGTGCCCTACCCCCCCGGGGAGGAAACCAAGGAACCCCTCTTTGACTGCTTCTACAACACCACGGCCGCCGTCCCGCTCACCTGTCCCGACAACAACGGCCTATACCCGGGCGTCAAACTCACGTTCGTGATCCCCTCCAGGCAGTTCCAGATCGATATGATGAATGTTGATGGTACAGTGGCGATTCCGCAGGTGTATAATGGCACCGCCGAGGAGGTGTGGGATGCTGGGAGGTATTGGNTCCAGATCGATATGATGAATGTTGATGGTACAGTGGCGATTCCGCAGGTGTATAATGGCACCGCCGAGGAGGTGTGGGATGCTGGGAGGTATTGGTATTGGGATGGGACGGATCGGGATAAGGCTTTCTTGAAGGGGGGGAGTTATCGGTGGAGGGTTACGGCACTGAGGTGGAGTGGGGATGCGGGGGTGGGGGCGGATTGGGATTCGTGGAATAGTGAGATTTGGAGGGTGAGTTATAAGAAGGGGAGTCTTTTTTTGGCGGAGAATGAGTAGGGAGTAGGGGTTGGTTTGGTGATGATGAATTTACGGCTGGCTTGTTTTGATTGTGTTTACGGTTTTGTTTATTTCTTGTGCCGATGCTGAGGACCTTGGTATGTGATTTTGTGAGTGAGTGACTTTCATCCTTTCATTGGATGTTTTGGAAAAACTAATCCTCTCAAACCCGGCATGATCCCCCTCCCTACTAACCTTCCTATCGAAGGACCTCAGAAACCACACTCTTTAAGTAACTCACCACTGACCCAATCACTACTCTTATCACGTGCCTTAAACGAGCCCCTATTCTAGAACCAACCTTGACGTCCGCCCCTTTCCTCTCTCACTTCCCCTCTTATCTCGAAGTACACTCCAAGTAAATACAATTACACATATCACCTAAACAGACAAACTACGGCTTCAATCCTTCAAAAGCCAACTATCCAACTAATCAACTAGACTAATCACCGTTCCTTCCAACAAGAAATATTCAAAAAGTAATCACTTTTACTTCACACGTATAGCGCGTTCTTCAACCCTAGAAAGCTGGAAGGTAAGGAAGAGATAAGACTATGTTCGCCAATAAATTTCATACCTAGAAGAGTTTTGAAATCGGGATCTATATGGAAATATTAAGGGAAGGGAAGGAGTGGGAAAAGAAGTGGGAATATAGTTTTAGCGGTGGATTGATATCGAATGGTTTTTTGTGGAATACTAGATATTTTGTCTGTGATCTGGTGGAGAGGGGGAGATGATAAGAGTTCGTACGAGCGATGGTGAGAATTGTGGCTTGGAATTTAAATATCAAGTATTGTATTCGTTTATGTTCAATCGTCAGCCGGTACACGTCATATCAAAAGGAGGCTTATTGTTGGTTTTCTTTTGTATTGCTGGCTAGCTTCAAGTGCTTATAATTCGCCCACATATATAAGTGGAAAGCGAAGTATAAGCACCCTCGGCTACGCACCCCTTGCGGGGGCAGTTTGACTAACTACTACCTTACCTACATACGAGAACTACTTCTGATTTTAGCTGGTATATTAGCTAGCTAATTAGAAGGCTCGATTTGTAGAAAGCGAGGTACAAAGTACCCTCTAAGCTAGGGTTTAAAACCCTCCTAAATCGTAAGGCGAGCCTTCTAGCGAGAGGAATATAGGTAGGACAAGAGAGCTTTAAAATACGCTTAAGAGTAAAAAGAATAAGCGCTAAGTACTCGGACTTTAACTATATTATAGACTAATTCGAAGGCTCTATCTAGTAAAATATAAAGTATAGAGCAGGGTAATAACTTTGGCTAGATAGGCAAAGAAGTATAAAAACGCACCCCTTTTAGGGGTATAAACGAACTCGGTCTAAAACCCTCCTAAATCGCTAGGCGAGCCTTCTAGCGAGGGGAATGTAGGTAGGACAAAAGAGCTTATAAAAGTGTAGCTAACAGTATAGTAGATATTAGTAGTAGTAGGGTAGGATATATATCTTACCGTACTACTATACGAGTAGCTTACTAAGCCTTTATCCTTATTTATTTACTATAAATCCTACTATTTATGTTTAATCGTTAGTCGGTATACGTTATATTAAAAGGAGGCTTATTATTAGTTTTCTTTTGTATTACTAGTTAGCTTTAAGTACTTATAATTCGCCTATATATATAATTGGAAAGCGAAGTATAAGTACCCTCGGCCGTATTAAGTAGCGCGAAAGGAAGCAGCTATAAAACAAAAGGAGGGAAAAGGGGGGAAAAACTAAGAATAAGACGAAAAAGGAGACAAGGAAATAAGGGAGGACTATCTTTATCTTTTCTAGCGAGTAGGTATATCTACTACTAAAGACCTAATATCTAAACTTATCCTACCTTATAAATATCTACCGCCTACCCTACAACTATATTTCTACCCCTCTTACATTTATAAAACAAGTATAGGAAAACCTATTTTTTAGGCTAAAACTATACCTAGAGAGCTTTCCTTGCCTAGCAAATATATATAATATTCCGACCTACATCTGCTATTATATGCTATCCCGATGCTAGTTCCTAGTGCGTCGGTAGTCGAGGATCGAGCTTGAAAGAGGAGCTAAAATCGTGCGTTTGTTCACCGCACCTGGATATCGTATATTCGGACGTAGTATCGTCGCGCAGTAATAATCGTCGCACGCGAAAGGAGTGAAAATAGAGCGACCACCACTAGCTCCACAAAAGAGCTCACAAAAGTGTAGCTGACGATATGGTGGATATTGGTGGTGGTGTTGAAGGCATGTGGCAGTAGTGGGGTGGGATATATATTCCACCGTGCTACCATACGAGTAGCTTACTAAGCCTTCATCCTCATTCACTACAAATCCTGCCATTTAAGCGAGTATGTGGAAAAACGTGACTTTTCCTCCTCCCTTTAATCTACATAAGGAAGGTTGTTTTCCCGGCGTCACCACCTACAAGAAAGACATCTTTACAGTAAGAGGAGATTGTATATGTGTAGTTAGAAAACGCAATAGGAGTGGTATTCTTTCATACGGCTTCTAGCATCCCCAGCCCTCATTTCAAATAGGAAAGTGACGCGGGGGACAGAGCAGTTTGTAGCTTGTCCAGAGCTAAAGATGACGGCCCTTCAATCCCAAACGCATTCACGTTTACCGACATACTCTCGGCGATCATGGAAGAAGATTCTTGATTCGCTGTTTGAAAAGTCGAGATGACCCTGGTACCCGAGAACACTCCGAGTATTGCTAGCTGCTGGAGACTTATTGTTATCTGGGATATAAGCTACTTATACCGTGGTACTCTTTATTAATAGGGAGGGTGTAAAAGTATCACGTATTCGTAGGGCTTCTTTGGACTTAAGATGGTCGAGAACCTCACCCCTCTTATCGTAGCAATACAAGCGAATCAAACAGGAATGGTCAAACTTCTCATTGACCACGGCGCGGAAATTCAATCAAGAGTCGGTCAACCAGAACAATCTGCTACTCTCACAGAGTTTCGTCACGTTGCTACTCTCGAGCTTTGGCTAATGATTCTAAATTTACTAAAGCACAAAGACGGCGTGGAAATCATTAATGCGACAAGTATCGGAGGAACACCTCTTCAACTGGCTGTATACTCTAAAAGCCTTCCCTGCACCAAGATTCTTCTCGAAGCTGGAGCAGATCCGAATACCACGTACCCAGAAGATAAAATACCTCCCCTTGCTCAAGCAGTTCTATTCAATTGTCCGGAGATTGCCAAATGCATACTCACGTTCAAACCCAGAATATACACTTCCACCGTGAACCAGGCAATATTGGACGACCAAGTCGAGATATTCCAACTGCTGATCAAGCAGTGCGGCAATGTCGATCAGAAAGATTCTCTGGGAAAAACATCATTGATCTATGCAGCAGAATGCGGAAGAGGTGCGATGTGTGAGCTTTTGCTTGATCTTGGGGCTGAGATAGACGAAGAGATCAGTCCGGGAAAGGAACGAGCGGGTTTCAATGTGCTTGCTGTTGCAGCGGTATTTGGACATCTCGACGTGGTCGAGCTCCTTATTAAACGGGATGCTACATGCTTTCCGCCGTATGTGTTGCGGTACAAGTGGAAGAATCTCGATGCATATTTCCAGCCGTCGGTGGCGAAGGCTACGAGGAAGAAGATTATGAGTAAGGTTCGGAAGTTCAAGTACGAGAGCTGGAGGTCTTAAGGAGGTTCGTGACTGGGAAGGCATTCTCTTGGTGAATTGACGATCTTTTGCTAAATAGTTGCTTCATTTCACATTCCAATTGAGCACCTCAGAGTTGAATGTGTTCGGTCCTGCGCTGTTTCTCTGCAATCTTACACAGGGACTTTCAGTTCAATAATCTCTCGGTGAAAATTCCTGTTACCTCTTCTTCCCAAATATCTTCGGTAATACTACATAGGTACTGCTTCTAGGCATCTACTTAAGCAGTTCACGTGACATTAATTGATCGAAAATATAGGGTCAATTTCTCTAGGCAGCAGTCTGCAGAACCATAGATTTCTATATAACGGAACTGCAAATCCGGAACCGAAAGCAATCTTCTTCCGCTGGTCCCCTTCCACTTTCAAAAGTAACATGCCACAATATATCCTACTGTTAAATCCCTTCTCCTGACTTCTAAAAACGTGGGTGCTTTGGCATCACCAACAGATATCACCTCAACATCACTTATAATGGGATGGTCATATCAGCAAGCATTCGGCCCGTAGTCTCAAGCTAGGTGAGTTGGAACCGAAAACACACCCTTGCTTGTGTTCGTGTAATATACCCATCGACCGTGGCTCCTCATAGCATGGCTACCACTTTTGGAAGAATTATTTATCGTCCCGTACCAACCTGCATGATATCCATGCATGGACAATTTGGTGTTTTTGAAGCTTTGTAGTTGCCTGCAAGCAAGTTGATTCTAATCTAACCTCAGAGCCTCGACTAGCAATTGCTAGATGAAGTACAATATTGAATCAATACCCCACTTCTCATTGGCTGTCAATAAAGCGCCATATTGAAACGCCAGGTGATGTATCGATCAGAACCATAAGTGAGAAGAAACCAAAAAGATTTACTGACCCTGATAATTTCTTAGGTCGGTTTTCAAAAACGTGGACAATTTCACTCTCGATGTATGAGATGCCGAATGCAGCATGTCCTAGAGATGGAAGCCTATCTGTACTTTAAAACGTGGCGGAAACCATAGTTTGTGAAAGTCCCGGATATGAGATCCTCCAACATTTTCATACGATGGGTTGAAGTCGTTACAATAGCCTACCGGTTCGGCACCTGGCTAAAGCCAATAGATGAAAACTTCTTATATGCATACCGATGATTTGCCCAATTTTCTATTTTGAGCCGTCAAATTTTATAGTGTTCTTTATCTTCATCAACTTTATTCGCTTCGTCTCATTTGGGGTTATTACGACTATGGTTGCCTTGATTGCGCTCGGTACTCTGTAAATTGCCTGCGTCTACTTCCCATGGCCATCGAGCAGTTTCGGCTCTATCTAGACTCGTATCGTTATCGTGGCGTTGGGGAGATCACCAGACCGTTCAGTTATAATATTTTCGGATTTTACAAAAAGGCAGCGGTGGGCCGTCATACTTGTCTTTGAAATTAGTCCGCTGAAAGCAACTTCTGGGGTGATTTTCACAGATAGCTGGTATGCTTGACTCCAGTCTTTCTTCGCAAAGTAACGATTCTAACTTGACGAATAGATATGCGGTCCACAAGCTTCCTCTTACCAGCTCTCGCGGTTGTCTGTCATGGTGCAGCCTTACCATTTCATGTTCGCGATGTCATCGAAGCGAGAGAACCACAAATACTAGAACCGAGTCCCACTCGAACCGTGATTGTCGGTCCAACACCTCCATCATGGCCATGGACCCTACCTCCCCATCCCCATCCAACATGGCCACCAAAGCCGCCCAAACCTTCATCGAAATCGTCATCCACCAAACAAGAGCCCACAACATGGTTGACATATACCTATCCTGCTTGTCCCCAACCAACGCAATCGACACCTGTCTTGACAGTACCAATTGATAAGCGAGAGCCTCAGACTCTTGGATGGCCAACTCGAAGCGCCTCCGTTCCAGTAGCATCACCAACCAAAGCCTGCATCTCACAGCCGTACGTCACACCAAGTCGATCAACCAGCTGGGGTGGGCCAGGTACGACACGCACGATTCCCGTGATCACAGTACCTATTTCAGACTTTGCCCCTGTTCCGACCATTCTAGCAGAAGCTCGAGAGTATACGCGAACGATTCAGTGGGAAGGTGCAGATACCACTCGTGGAATCCCAGCTATGACGGTCCCCATCACGGCTCGAAACGTGGAATATACGCGATCAGTTGATTGGCAGGGGGCGGGGACAATACGTACAGTTCCCGTTTTCACGGTGCCGATTGAGAAGAGACAGATACTTGGGGAACCGACTCGTACTGTTATTGTTGGTCCTACGCCTGACCCGCCTGCTCCACCGACGACGAAACCATCGCATACTAAGACAACTTCGAAGTCTACCGTCAAGCCTTCTCATACTAAAACGACGAGTAAACCGACAAGTAAGCCGACGAGTAAACCAACGAGTAAATCAACAGTCAAACCGACAAGTAAATCAACAAGTGCAACCACGAGCAAATCCACAAGCGCAGCGACGAGCAAACCAACAACAAGCACTTCCTCCGAGCACCGTCCTATATCAACCGAACCACATCCACCTCAAACAACACACTTTGATGTCAACGAGGAAGACGAGACAAACCAGAAACGTCAAGAAATCGGTATCCCAGGATACACCATCGTCTGGCCATCCAATATTCCCCGTCCAACCAACATTCCCATGATGACTGTGCCCCTGAACAACAAAAGACAAGAGTTTCCTACTGGTAGCTGTCTAACCAGGACTGCTATTACTTGGGGTGATTCTCCACCAGGAGCTACCGATTTGCCGCCTATTGAGGTTCCTCCTCTTGATCTTCCGCCGGTTGATGTGCCGCCGGTTGAGACGGGTGTTCCGGGGGAGGAGCGTTGATCTGAGGGGTAGTTTGGAAGTGGTAAGAAGCGATGAGGGATAGAAATTTGGTTTTGTTGATGGCTGGAGGTGGGTCGAGTCACAGAGAGGTAAGGGGTTTCGCTAGGTAAGCGAGGGGGAAAAAGGGGGTTAGCCAAGGAGAGTTTTCATCGTCGATTTCATTGGATAATTACAAGCGTGCGGGTTTTTGATACCTTACTACTTTTCTCATTCATTAGTTCCTCGCCCAGCATAAGAAAAAGAATTAATTCATTTCCCCCCAACCCAAATCTTAACCTCCCAATCAATCACTCAATACATAGCCCATCCCCCCGAAGCACTAATACACTGTCCACTAACCCACCCACTCTCCTCCCCCGCCAACCACCCAACAACCCTCGCAACCTCCTCCACACTCCCCAATCGTCTCTCCACCGCCGTCTCACTCCTCTGCCTCTCCACAATCTCCTTCGGGATATTCTCCAACATCGCAGATTGCACAGGCCCCGGACTCACCACATTAACCNCTCCACCGCCGTCTCACTCCTCTGCCTCTCCACAATCTCCTTCGGGATATTCTCCAACATCGCAGATTGCACAGGCCCCGGACTCACCACATTAACCGTCGTCCCATTCCCTCCCAACTCCTTCGCCCAACATCGAGTAAGTCCCTCCAATGCAGCCTTGGACGAACAATAAAGTCCCAGATTTGCGAATCCCGCGCGCGCACCGACGGAGGAGATATTGATGATCCTCCCTCTTGGGGGCAGATACGGGAGAACAGCTTGCGTTAAGAGAACTGGTGCTAACACATTTAGTTTGTAGACTTTCTCGAAGTCCGGGATTTGGATCGTGGAGAGCGGTGCGACGATCTCGGTTCCGGCGTTGTTTACTAGGATGTCTATCGTAAGGGGCTGGTTGGGACCCCGCCAGGTCTTGAGTGCGGAGATGATTTTAGAGGGTGTGGAGGGGAGGAGGAGGTCTGCTTGGATGGTGAGGGTTGTGGGATGGTGTGGGAGGGATTTTATGAGAGTTGTGAGGGAGGTGACGAGAGGGGTGCTGGCGGGTGAGGTGTAGGTGATTACTATGTCTGCGCCGCGTTTGGCGAGTTCGAGGGTCATTCCTGCGCCGAGACCGCGGGAGGAGCCTGTGATGATTGCGGTTTTTCCTTTCAAGGGGAGGGAGGATAGTGGGTGCTCCATTTTGGTGAGTTTGGACTGTTTTATTGATTATTTGGTCTGGGGATAAGTGTTTTGCTTCACGAAGGAAGTCCTGGTTGGTGCGCTCAGGATGATTCTGCTGGAATACTGGGTTTTATATACCTTCCAAGCTACCTAGTGAATAAATACCTGATTTCGAGAGATCCATGAATGGGCTGTTTGGTTATTTCCGATGGGTTTCTATATATTTCGGAGATAGGATGCTAGTTCGGGCATAACAGATAGGGTATACAAGTAACACAAGAACTACTTCTTGTAATTATTCTACCCTATTAATCCAAATAATTCCTTGGGTTTGAGAAAGAGGATAATTATGATGCGTTGTTAGTCTTCATAGCTGGGAATATATTAGGAAAGTAAGTATTTCTAATAACTGTAATAATAACCCTAACCATAACCCAACTACAATGTATAAAATTCACTTACCTAACCGCTCCTATCCTGCTTCCCTTCTGCTTCCCCCCAAACATTGATATTGATTAACTACTCTATACTTTAATATTGAAATGAGGTGAATTCAATTTCAAAGTGGAGTCAACAGGTCCCATTCCATACATTTATATCGGTAAGATTAGAGATGAGGTGTGTTAATAACAGGATACAGCTCTCCTGGCGGAAAGGGGGCGACGGGCCGACGTCGGTCCGAGGTGGTGCGGGATGTTTCTCCAAGGCGAGGAAGCTTTACTCGACACTTGCATCGCATCTTTGGTCGCCGGCGCCGATTTAAATAGCACGCAATGGCAATGTACGTCGACAGCATATCATATGGCTGAGCATGAGAGGGCTTCACCCTTGCCGACTTGCTCTACCAAAACACATCCAATCACACGATTGCTCAAGTTGATGACCACCACCATCACCGCCGTTTTTTGGATTCATGACCCCTCCCCCTCCTCTCGGACACACGCCGCCAAAAAGACTACCAACCCCATCGAGTCCCCTACTCGAGCGAGTACTCGTTCTCAAAGATGTCCGGGTTAGTATTCCTTCTTCATACGTATCATTAGGTCTAAGTGTTGAGCTGATCGCAATCAATAGATCGTTGAAAGACACCATCAAGGCGATCAACGCCCGCCTCTCTTGCGATCCAGACCCAGCTCTACCCCTTCCCGACGATCTAGTCAAGGCCATCCATGCCTATCTCGACAAACATGAGCCCCGCGAGGAATCAGATAAGCAGCGCTTGCAGGAAGAATTGTTTACCACCTACCATAACCTGATTGAGGACAACCATTCCCGTCTTGCGCCGTTTCTCGCCATGTTAGGCCTGATACGACCTGGCCTCCGCGGATCGGGCAGAATATTGCAGTGGTGGGACAAAATTTCTGTACCAGTTTTGAGTAACTTGGGCGATCAGAAAGGATTGGTGGCCGAGGCACGAGCAGCGCTGCTGAGGACGTTGGCATACGATCCAGATGATGGTGAGAAAAGCATTGTGGACGACGACAAAAACACCAGCGAGATCATGGCAGAAAGATTGTTGACCATCTGGCTGGTCAAGGCGAAAGCTTCGTTCGAAGATCTCGATATGCAAGCTCGATTCATGGAGCGACAAATTCGACAGATCTTGTTGACTTTTGGAAAGAAGCGTCCTCGGGACTTTCTAATTCTCCTCGATAAGTACTTCGCGGCAAAAGCTTCCAGGATTTCTATTCTACCACTTCTGTGCGAATTTGTGCGACATGGACCGCCACATCTGGACCAGGTAAAATCTTTTGAGTCTTTAGAAGAATTAAATTATACTGATCTTGGTTTCAGGTCCTCCAGACGCCGCTCTTCGACCACCTCTTGCAATGCCTCCAAACAGACACCTCAACAAGAGTCATTTCCCTGGCCATCACAGCCCTAATTATGATCCTACCTCATATCCCAAACTCTGCGTCCAAACACCTACCCGCCCTCTTCAATATCTACAGCCGAATGCTATTTTGGGATAGAGAAAGGAAGAAATCGGATCACAAGGCAGTGCGGGGTGAACAGGATAGTGATGATGAGGAATCTGATCAATTGGGAGGCGATAAAAAGTCTTGGGACAAGATGTCATACCTATTGGATAACGAAGACAATACGGTCCCCGAGCTGTTACATTACTTCACTTTCCTCTACGGACTCTACCCAATCAACTTCATGAGTTATATTCGAAAACCGCAAAGATACTTAAGACATGCAAAGTTTCCCGGAGCGGACGATCTCGATGTCGAACCAACAGAGATTCGCTCGCGCTCTGAGACCTTTAGAAAGATCCATGTTCTTCATCCAAACTTTTTCATGATGACCATCGAAAATGAGCTTACTGATAGCAATCGGTGGATGAAGAGTACTGCAGCCGATGTTGTCGCTGAATGTATGGCACTTTACAGTCCAATTGAAGAGCCAGAAAACATTTCAGCAGAGAGCCGTCCAAACGGGACCTCGAGAATTGCAAGCTCTGAGAATCCAGCGTACCCAGAATCCGACTTGGCAACGCCATTCCAGTCTCGCCATAACAGTTGGAGAAATACGCAATCAACTGTAGCCCATCATGCAGATGACCATGCACTCCATACAAAGGCGTCCCAGAGTAGTATTTCCGACGCAGAGTCACCCATTTCCCATCCAGAAAGTCGACCGGCTAGCCCTACAATCCCACCTCGTATGCTTACATCGCCTTCCCATAACCAACTTCATGAGCTGCTAAACTCACAGAAACCCACCAAAGGCAGCATTTATCAGACAGTCAATGACTCTGCTGCTTCCCTTGCACTTTCCCATCATCAAGATACAGCATCATTAAAGACAAACCTACATGTTGATGCTTATCTTGCATCCTTAACTTCCCGTGAGGCAATGCCAAGATCGCGATCTCCGTCATTACATCCTGATTCAAATCTGAAGGTAGCATACCTGCAACGGGAAATCCAGCTTCTACGCAACGACTTAAATTTCGAGCGGTATTTGAAGCACCAGCACCTGTCCGCCATCGGTCAGTTGCGAAGCAGGCAAATAAAGCAGGCCCGAGGTGAGGCTGAAATACAAAACCTCATCAATTCTAATGCCATTATCAAATCCAAATTGGAAGAGGCAAAGAATCTTAACATACAGATGAGAACTGAGACTGAAAAGAGCAAAGCTCATTCGCGGAAATGGGAAAGTGAGTTATCGGCCAAGTTGCGAATCCTTAGAGATGAGCAGAAGAAATGGATTGTCGAGCGCGAGGAACGTATAAAGGATCTACAACTCGCGAAACAACGGACCGAAAAGTTGAAGAATCTTGTGATAGAGAGCGAGGCTAGAGAGCTAGCATCCCGTCAAAAAGTTCAATCAGTTGAATCGAGCCTTGATGAGTTGGAGCGACTACGAGCCGAGGTCGAAATTCTTACCATATCCCTACGAACATACGAAGCAGGTGAGAGCGAGGCAGTAGACGCGAAAGAAAGCGAAGAAGCTGCTTTGAGGCAGGTGGAGATTCTCAAAATGCAACTTCTTGCACGAGACACGGAAATTGTTCAATCCAAACAAACCTTCGATGGAGAGATTCAAAAGGTCAAGGCAGAGTACGAGAATAACAAAGAAACTGAACGCATTCGCAGACAAGTGATAGATGAGGCTTTGGCGGTAAGCCATCATCGAATAGAACACATGCAGAAGGTACATGATCACCTACTTAAACGTTTCCAAGCTACAGAGTCGCAGTTAATGGAGCATATTGAATTTAGAAGAAAGCATGAGCAGCGCGAGCCGCATGAAGAAGCTCTTTTAGGCGGCGAAGCTTATGCTTCTGACGATTCAATGCCACCAACAAACGCGATATTGAATCCCAATGCAGGAAAAGCACAAGACGGATATGGCGATCAAATCGAATCATCATTCAGCGCCCGATTGAATCAGCACAAGTATGGTATTTCCCCGTCTAAGCAATTGGACAATACGAGCCGTGAACCTCATTACACCCCACATCCACATGACGCATCTCATCCAGCTTCGGGCTCACCACCTGCCTCACTACCTACGGTGAGTACCTCAAGCGATGACCACTCGGTAGATACCCGGGGCAACAAGAAAGTCAAGATTAGCCCTCAGAGTGAATTGAGGGTTCATGGTCGGGGGTAAGCATTATCTCTTTCCTACGAGTACTGCGGGATGATAGCTAACTAAGCTGCAATAGTGGTGTGCAGAATGTGGGTAAGAAAATCAAGTCAGAGAAAGATCATGACCATTCCGATAAGATGACCTCTGGAAAGGATGGATCTGATGGCAAAAAGGATAAGAAGCTTGCAAACAAGGCTGGTGTTGCTGCATTCAGTTATAGGGGATTTGGGGGAATGTAGGGCTTTTGAGCAGGGGCCTGTATGAGTATTATGAATGTCTGGATAGTGTACTAAATAGGGGTTCCTGGCGGCGTTGATTGTTTTTTTTTTGGCGCAATCGAATGGGAGGGAGGCTGACTCTTGCGTCTAAAAGTTCTCGGACAGTTGTATACAAAGAGAGACGCGTTAACTTCGGGAGAACGGCAGACGAAGAGCTCGCAACGGGGCCATCAGCATTACAACCTAATGCGCGTGGAATACGAGTACCCGGGCAAGACGAATAGGATAACGAGAATATGTCACTACTAAAGCAGTAAAGTTTGCTTGAACTTGACCCAAGTTTGAGTACGCATGTCATGTTGATCAATTGTGGGGAGCTTCTTAAGGTTATTTTCAAGGACGTCATCACTACAGGAAAACCTCGATACAAGGATCCTCGATATAAGGATATCCTCGGTTATATCCTTAATTCCTAGGGCCCGATTTTTTTAGGTGGAGTACTAAGGATAACCTCGGTTAAAGGATAATCCTTAGGATTTTGGTAGTAAAAAAAATTTATACCTAAAATAACCATAATTATATCCTTGTTATAGCTAATCTTAACGTTAAAACTACCTACTAAGAGCTTCTAATTTGTCCTATAGGGGACCTCGAGGATATTAAAATAGAATTATAATATAATAGTAATAATTCTATAGAAGATCCTATAGAAGAAGCAACTATAGTTTCTAATCTTCTATCTAGCTTACGTTTAAGAACTAGGAGAGCCCCCTACCGTCCCTCTAGGAGGCTACCTCGCGTAACTACTAGTACTAGAAATAGGAGGAGAGTTAGTATAAAAAGACGTTTAAAGTTCGACGATTTACAAAGGAGGATTATACGTGACTATACTATGGTAAACCCTTATTTACGTTACTAGGATTTAATAGTGTAGTATCTAGAGAAGTTAGGACAAACTATCTCTTAATCGATTATCTTATATACTCTTAGCCCTAATTATACGTACCTTGATTCCAATCTTTCTTATCTATCTATATTAGCTAAAAGAGCTTACGTTTCGGTACTAGTTTACCCTAATTTAGAGAACGCTCTTTTTAAATAGTAATAGTAAATATAACTTAAAAAGGCTACTTGTCAGGACTTGTAGCAAATGCTGATGAATTGAACTACAGAGGTTGTCTATGTATAAGAAGATTCGATTGTCCTTACCAAAGCAGCTTCCCAGCCCTCTCTATATACCACAGAACTGGCTACGTGTCCTTTACCAATACTCTAGAAGGTTCCACCAAGTCTGCTTAGAGGTCACGTGCACATGTCGCTGGAGCACTCCAAGACTCACTCCACGGGTGCAACCCTTGACACTACTTTAACTAGCGATATCCTTAAATTAAAAGTAAGGGAGCTTTAGAACGCCCTGACTTAGTACAAGGATATTATTAAGGAACCGGTATTCTCTAATAGGTAGCTCGATAACTTTAAGCAAAGTTTTAATATTAAGTAATATACGTGTTATAGCAAGGTAGTAGTATCTAAGGTTACCTTACTAATAAGGATTAATACTATAGACGAAGTACCTATAACTTACGCGGATTATACTACTAAGGATATCTTTAACATAGATAAAACAGGGCTCTTTTAGCGCCTTACCCTATACAAAACTCTCGTAACTAGCCCTAGTTTAGGTAGAAAGAAAAGTAAGGATTATATTACCCTTATACTTACGTTAAATACGAATAGGAGTAAGAAGTTAAAGCCCTAGATAATTAGTAAATCCGAGAATCCTTATTACTTTAAAATGATTGATAAGTCTCTTCTTAGTATTACTTATTAATATAATAAGATAAAGTAGATAACTAGCGCTATCTTTAAAGAGTTCTTACGTTAGTTTAGCGCTTAAATTACTTAAACTCCTAGGCGAAAGGTAGTATTATTAATAGATAACTTCTCGAGATAAAAAGTTAGTATAGATAATATTAGTAGAGCAGATAGTCTTTCGAATATAAAAGTATAATAGTTACCGCTAAATACTACTATATTTTAGTAGGCTATAGATTAAGGTATTATTATGAACTTTAAAGCCTACTACTATATATACTTTATTAGGTTTATACTCAAGGAGTTAGAAGAGGACTATAATTCTTTTAAGATAGTTACGCTCTTATATACTATTAATTAGACTCTAGACGCGTAGGATAATAAAGTAAAACCCTCTATAATTGAGAGGTACTTTTATAAATCTACTATTCTAGATAAATTAGATTATTATACAGATATCAATAATAAAATTCCTTTATCTAATAATACTATAGCTAATAAGCGAATTAAGGTAGAATTAGAAGGTCTAATAGAGAGATTACCCAATAGTAATATAATTACGGTCTAAAACTTTATTTTAGTACTAGATAAGTTATTAGAAGATAACTTATCTAATACTAATATACTTACTAGGATTTTAGTAAGATATATTAAAGTTAAGGAGCTAGAAGTAGATAAGGAGGACAAGGGAAATCCGTTACCTTAAATTAAGTATTCTAAAGTTATTAATACTCTTCAAGGTTATAAACGATATAAGATATAATAGTCGGACGGGAGTATAGAACGATTAAAGTAGTTAAAGGAGATAGAGAAAATAGTAGGTATTCGGCGTTCTAAGGTTAATAATTAATCCTTGATTATAGGTTATTTTAGTATTTTAAATAGCTTAAAGGAGTACTAAATAAAAGAGCTTATTTCTTTAATATCTCGCTCTTAACTAGTAATATTACCTTTCTCTTTTTACTACCTTCTACCTTAACTTCTAGCTTATATCTAACTACCTACTACCTACTAGATCCCTTTATAAAAGAGACCTCTTGTCCCTCTCTATTATTGTCTTTCTACCTATTCGATTGTCTGCTAACCTAAACTATAACCTTCTTGCTGTCTTCTAAATATTACGAGATCGAGGGGTTAAGAGCATTCTTTAGTCCTAGCTTAATCTACCTACTAAAAGCCTTGCGATCCTACCTAGTATAAATCGTAATACCCTTGGATAAGCCGGCCTTTTATAGTATACGGAAGTGAAGTAGATATATACCGCCGGCGAGGGGTGTAATTAAGGGGTCAAAGTTAGTACGGACGTCTGAAAAGGTTAGTACGGTGTATATAAAAGTAGTGGGAATAGCCTTATTTACAGATAATTTAGTATACGCTAGAGGTCGGTATGTTCATTATAAATATAGGCGAATTAGTTAAACGAGTTCACAGGGGTTAGGAGAAATAGTAGTAGATTTAGGTACGAAATCGCGATTTTCCCTCCTCCTACCTATGAAATATGCTAAGACCCTCGCTATAAGGATAACCTCGGATATATCCTTAGTAATCCTGCCCCCGAGCATATCCTTGTATCGAGGTTTCCCTATAGTTGAATCTTTCAGCAAGTCGACCCACTTTTCTTTGGTCTCGCTGAAAGCTGGGATGATAGATGTCTGATCTCATTGCTTCCCGTTTCTTCTTTTTATACTTCAACCATGCTTGCATGCTCTGCTCTGCTTCAAGATGGCCAGAATTTGATCTAGGCGGAGCTGACGCGCGAAATCCCATGTCCCGGGGCAAAAGCTCCTCCACATCCCGGGCATGGCTTCGCTTCTTCTTGGCTCTTTCTTCGTTCCTTGCAGGTTTCCTCGGCGATTGGGAATTCTTTCGGGGGTTTTTATAACGTTTGACACCTTGATTATTCAATGGTTTTGTCCATCTATTTGTTTTGCCCCACCTCTCTTTATGTTTCTTGTCTATTTGAAATCAGCACGGCCGTGACGTACCATAGCACCTGCAAGTAGCTAAGCGACGATGCTTATCGAAGATGACGTTCATCCTTTTTTTTTTCTGTGTTGTGGATTTTTACCGGTAGATTGTCTCCGGTTTGCCATACATCGGATGGCTTCCACCAAGTTTGGTTCATAGAGGCTCTGTAGATTATTGCCGTTGTTACATGGAGATGATTGGACATTTTTGCTGGTACTACCAACTACCTGCAGTGAAATGCACTAGGTAGCCACAGGGGAATCGTCATAATTATTGTTTTTGTGGGAAGTTTCTCGATATCCGTGAAGGTTCTATAAGAGCTCACTCCCAAAGTGTTTCCCTTTTTCTCCATTCAACAAGCTCTCGCATCTTTCAACATGTTGTTCAAATCAGCAATTGGTGCCGGGTTCGTTGCCGCAGTTGGTGCTGCTCCACAGGCAACATACTCGTATAATCAGTCACCTTCTGTCAATAGCGGAGCTCTTTCAACAGTTACCTCTATTGCTGGACTTCCGGCAACTGAGATTCCAGAGGCAACACTTCCTGTCCCCCCTCTCGTCAGTAGCCAGGTTACTGGAGCTACAAGCCATGGAGCATTCAATGGAACACCAACTACCACTGGAGCTCTCAGTAACTCGCCCCTCGCGACGGTTGGCCCGACTGCTGCACTTCCACCGAACCCAACAGCTCTAGTTTACAATCCAAACGGGACTCTCAATAACCCGCAACCTCTTCCGTATCAACCAGCTGGTGGATTGGGGACCAATGGCACTAAGCCCGTCTACCGAGTTCAGTCGGATTTTGACTACCAATCTATTCTTCTTGGTCTTTACCAGGTATGTATTGTTGAATCTGGGTTGGAGGAACCTTACTGATGTCTTTCTAGGAATGGATAGAGTTAGATCTTTTCCATAATATCTTGGCTACATTCAACGAATCTGAATTTACAGCCGCTGGGCTGACACCAAGCGATCGTTTCCTCATTGAATTCATGGCCGATCAAGAATCCGGACACGCAACACTCCTCAGCAATCTCCTCGGCGGCCCAGGAGGAGCAACACCTCAATGTACATACAACTACCCCTTCAAAACCGTCCGCGAAGCTTTCGACTTCACCCAAAAGCTCACACGCTTCGGCGAATCCGGCGTCTGGGGATTCCAAGCCCATCTCGATGCTCGCGAAGTCGCTCAACTCCTTGATCAATCCATCGCCACCGAGGCCCGACAACAAATGATCTTCCGGCAATTCGCAGGTCTCTTCCCCATGCCCGTCTGGTTCGAGACGGGCATCCCACAAAGCTGGGCCTGGACGCTCCTCGCACCCTATATCTCCGAATGTCCAGCGAACAGCAAGCGACTCGCCTGGCAGAACTTCCCCGCGCTGAAGGTCTTGAACCAACCTAATTCCGCCCGTATGAACGCTACGCAAACCGGCCTCAATGAAACGACAGGCTTTGGTCCCGCGGCTCCTTCCTCAGATGTCCCATACAACGAAAGCTGTCTCAGCACCAACACCACAGGTTTCTCCTGCCTCGCCTCCATCTCGCAGAACCGGACGATTCCACTCAGTTACCCCGGTCGCCGCGTTCAGCTCTCGTGGGAGAACCCAGGGAAAGCCGTAGGACCTAACAACTCGTACATCACCGATACCGAAGCCGGGGCGCCTAAATTCGTCATCTGGGTCTCCCAGTTGAATGTCACGTACTCGCCGCTTGTGAATATCAGTTCTGAGGGTGATGTGAATTATGGCGCGACGATCCAGCCGGATGTTAGTACGTACGAGGGGGATCCGGCGATTAATGGGACGATGTTTATTGCGCTTACGGATAAGGATTTGCCGTTTACGGCGTTTAATTTGAGTAGTGTTAATCCGCATGTTGCGGCGGGGCCTTTTTTGTATCAGGCTGGATAGACGCTGTATTTCGAGTATGGTGAAAAAGGGGGGAAAGGGTGGTTGTGGTGTGATGAATGAATGAATGAATGGGTGGGAGTAATGGCAATGTGGATTCTTTGTATATATAGGATGTTTTCTAATATGAGCCTTCATTTGAATATGAGCTTTGAATTTCTGAGTGATTACGTGATATTCATGTTCTTGGAACCGAGTATATCAAACAAGTACTAAATCCTTGCACACAACTCTTCGCCTGTTACCCTCTTTATCTATTAAACTATTAGATTCTTTTTAGTAATCCCATTCCCTTTAATTTAAGGGTTCTTTACCAACTACCTAGATCCAGTAGACGGAAAGAAAAAAACGATATGATCCTACAACTCCTTACTTTTTCTCTATTACATTCAGTTGTTTCAGATAATGTATTTTTCTTTTTTCTAATACCTTACTCAGACATTTAGTTTTCCTAGAGACTCTAGCTAGATATTACGAATAGTAGATAGGTAGAAGATATCTTTATATAGTACCTATATTTTAAAAATTATATCATCCTCGACTAAGAGACGAAAAGCGTAGCGCCTAAGATTCTAAAAAGTACAATAGTAAAAGTAATAAAAGTCGTGACTCGTAACAGGCCTTCCTTTGAATTAAACTCGGATAAAGAGGTAGGAGATAATAGAGGAGAAATTAATGATAGGGATCACGAAGATAAAGGCGCCGAAAATTGAGATCGCGAAGATGGAGATGGAGATAGCGACGATGATAATAATGAAGCAAATAGTATAGCACACGATCCTATAGACAACTTGTTGTTTTCGCAGTCTTAGGGGTTGTCATGGGTCCGGTAGGTAGGGTAGGACCCCCTTTAACAAAAGGTGTCTTTTTTCCCTCTCTTTTTTCGCGACGTCTTCTTGTTTTTCTATTCTATCATTCGCTCCCTTAGGGGGGTGTCATGGGTCCTGTGAGTAGGAACTCCCCCCAAAGACAGGCGTTTTTTTCGTATTTTGCGTACCATGTCGTTAAATACCCTAGCGCATACGTTTTCGTTACCCGGACCAAAATTTGTTTTTTTTTTCTTCTTCTTTTTATCTATTTCTACGGGAATAAACTTCTGTTCTCTTCCTACTACTCTATAGTTCCTATAACCATCCAGGTTAGCTATGCTTAGTTCTGCCCTTCGGTAGGGGGTTTTAAGTAGCTAACTAGTGGATTGTTTTTTCCTTGTCGCTAATGAAATCGATGTAAACTAATGGTGATAAAAGTTGAGATTCTTTTATTGTCTTGTGGTTGTAGATACCTTCTTTGTCACTAAGTGATTGTGAAGATAGTATACTCTGTTTTTGAGCGCGTGCTACCTCGTACTACCGCCTACCATAGAGCTTATTATCCTACGTAACATTGTTTAAGATTTTAATATTATTCTATATATTTCACATAATGATATATCTTGTAATTGTTTTCGATATTAATTGAAGGTAGCTAGATTAAAATTTCTTCTCTAGATATCTCGGATCATAAAATAATTAGTTTTGTAAAGTAATTTATCCTATAACGTGGTTTATCAGCGAGTCGATCATATCACCGAGTCGATCACTTTTCCTTGGCACTACCTCCTCAAACTTCAACACACGTTTTCTTCAACTATTTACCATGGAAATTCAAACTCAAGAAGCGCGAATTACTCTAGCTATCGAGGCTATTCGGTCGTCCAAAAAACTAAGCAAACGCTCTGCGGCAAAGATCTACAATGTACCATATACGACTCTTTCCGACAGAATGGCTGGCCGAACCTACCGCCCAGATTCTCAAGCCAATTGTCATAAGTTGACTGAGTTAGAAGAGGAAGTGATTATTCGGTATATACTGGATATGGATTCCAGAGGATTTGCGCCCCGGCTCGCTGGTGTAGAAGATATGGCTAATTTTATCCTTGAATCGCGGGGGGGAAGACGCGTCGGCAAGCTCTGGGCCCATCGATTCGTACAACGACAACCAGACCTTAAGACGCGTTTTAATCGCGTTTACGACTTCCAGAGGGCCTTATGCGAAGATCCTGACGTGCTAGGCGCATGGTTCCGGCTAGTAGAGAATATGAGGGCGAAATATGGGGTTACAGACTCCGACTTCTACAACTTCGACGAGACAGGCTTTATGATGGGTGTTATTTGTCCTAGAATGGTTGTTACTCGTGCAGACCGACGTGGTAGAGGCAAGGCAGTTCAGCCAGGCAATCGGGAATGGGCTACAGCAATTGCCTGTATTAATGGGGAGGGCTGGAGTATTCCTCCATTCTTGGTAGTTCAGGGCAAGAACCATCTCTCCAACTGGTATACCGACGGCGGCCTCCCACCTAACTGGGTTATTAAACCGACAAGCAATGGTTGGACAAATAATGAAACAGGCCTGGAATGGTTAAAGCACTTTGATAAACACACTACAGCTCGTGCAAAGGGTCTGTATCGAATACTAGTTTTGGATGGGCACGAGAGTCATGAATCGGCTGAGTTCCAAGACTACTGTACGAAACACAACATTATTACTCTTGGACTACCTCCTCATTCATCCCATCTAACCCAGCCACTTGATGTTGGGTGCTATAGTGTGTTAAAACGAGCGTATGGTCGGCAGATTGAGACGTTTATCAAGGCCCATATCAACCATATTACAAAGGTTGAGTTCTTTCTAGCCTTTACAGCAGCATACAAGGAAACAATGACAGTCCTAAACTGTCAGTCTGGATTCCGCGGAGCTGGCCTAGTACCATTTAACCCGCAAGCAGTGCTTTCAAAGCTTGACGTAAGGTTACGGACTCCAACTCCCCCTCGGACGTGTAGTGCCAACTCCCTCCCCTGGGTGTCCCAGACCCCTTCCAACCCAACTGAAGCCCTTTCACAATCAACTCTTGTACGAAATCGTATAGCCTGTCATCAAGGAAGCTCGCCAACTCCACTTTTTCAAACAGTTGCTGCGTTAGCAAAGGGTACAGAGCGAATGGCACATGAGATGACCCTTTTGTCTGCTGAGGTCCGTACCCTTCGCGCTGCAAATGAAGCCCTAAGTAAACGCCGTAGGGCTAAAAAGACTCGTGTCCGCCAAGGAGGGGCACTTATAGTAGAGGATGTACAGGATATGTTAGCTCAGGAGGATGTAGATGAGCAAGTACGACGCGACATGCGTGAGGCGGGGGTTGGTTATAAGGAGGGGCAACCTTCTAGGCGGCGCTGTAGAACTTGTGGAAAAGCTGGTCATAACGCGCGAACTTGTCAAGAAGTTATAGATATATCTAGTTCGTCAGATATAGAGAGCGATAATTAATTTAATATATTGTGGTTGATTTATTTAGGTGTAAAGTTCTGTGCCAAGAAAAAGTGATCGACTCGGTGATATGATCGACTCGCTGATAAACCACGTTATATAAAAAGAGACCTAATGATAATCTTTACTACGTTATTTCTCTAACAGGAGACTTTCCTGCCTAAGGATAGAGAAGTCTAAGGATGTGAAAATTCTGTGTGCGAAGAATATATCTATTTCCAGAACACCATGCTAACGGAGAATAAATTGCGATCTACGAACTTATTAAACCCACCAGTTCGTCGTGGTCAATTAGGTTTACCGAATAACAGCAGGAACTGGAACTCCATGCTTATTTGAACCAGGAGCTCCCCAGAAGATACAGTATCATTTTCAACTTGTAATGATCTTGGCTGAACCCCATTCCCTATTCGTGATTCATCGCACCTGTGATTCCACGCCTGGCGATCAAACCCAAGTTTCTCGATTCGAATTGCATTTGATAAATTCCCCTTTCGGCATAAGAGTAACACAGCGGGAGTTATGATCGCTCCCATCATCTGAAGTTTTTCATTTATGCCATTAACTCGATCGTCCCGACTGAACGATTCCGATGTTTATTCCCCCAAGATGATCGGACATTTAACTTTGCTCGCGCAATTGCTTGTTGAGCGTGTAAAATGCTTGTTCAAAGAGAGTTTTTAATTGACCTGGTTGCTCCCCACACCTTCATTCTTGGGAATTCAATTTTGATCAGGAATTCCGGATAAGCGTTGTGACAAGCTTTCCCCTTATTTTATCAAGGCCTCGTATCGGATGATCATGATCCGGGGCTGGGTTCTGTAAGACCACACAGAAAGAACACCACGCTGACTTGTCAAATAACAAAATACCCTGCACTCGAGTAGTTCCAGGCCTGACCATCCAACTTCTGCTCCTATTCCAGGTTCTGACTTGCTGGTGCAATTCTGGTATGTTGTGAGAAGTGATGAAGGAGCGTTTCGTTTGTGGGACAGTGTTCGTTTTCCTTTCATTGCGTCAAGCTCAACACTTCCCACGGCGCAGCACTCGGCCGTTTTTCCAGGTCGAAATAATGTCAATGTCATCTCTTCTACGAAGTATTTAGGGATATGCCTGCGAGAAGTGGCTGGCCTAGAGCAGCTCACTGATCAGTTTCGGATCTGAGGCCGGAGACCCCTGCCTCGTAAGTCGGACCCTTGAACTCATGTGGACGGTGGAAAAAAGCTCGACGTTGGCACTTTCCAGTACCTTAGTTACATGCATTCTCAAAGTGCTTCTCAATCACATATTTCCCACTCATAAAATACGGACATGAACTCCGGATTTCGACAACCTTGAGACTTTTACCACAATGATATCCGAAATACGGATTACTCCACAATGATGTTGTCGCTGGAGTGGCCTGGCCTTCCTTTCCGAGATGGGATGATAACCCCTGAGCCCCGGATTGTCTCAATCCGGGGGCTTAAAACATGGTCGCCCTGAGATTTGCAACTTCAGACAACACCCGTCACAAAAAGCTTACTCCAGCAGTTTGTCCCATATTATCCACCCAAAGCGCTTCCTCTAGCAAATTACCACCAATCGCATTACTTCTTCGTATTACGGTTGTCACCCATCCGCCGTCTCAACAAAAGATGGCTCGTCCCATCACCACTCACGTCATGAACACAGCCGCGGGAGATGTGCCTGAGATCATCTTCCAAGCCTCAGTAGCATAAGGGCATTCCAGTTAATTCCATCTGACACTCTCGCTCAACGAGACCATGGTAGTGAAGTGTTTCCACGAGCTGCACACCGAATTATGGAGAGTAATCCATCTCCTTCCCAACTGCACCAACAATCGGAGATCTCCCTCAATAAGCTCTGCGCGCGGCTGGAACCCTGATAACGAGGCCACCAGTACTTCGGCAGCGACCCACCCATGGCATACTCTCAATAGGGCTTAAGCGAGCAATTGGTGATGTATTATTGGACATCTACGTCGAGACTCCTCCCAAGTGGAGAAACCACGAACGCTTCAAGAAACGCCCTGTTCTCCCGGTATGATCTACTGTGCATTAGATTATCCTGATTTTGGAATGTTGCCCCTTTGCAATAGCGGCACAGGCAGATATGAATTCATTTTATAAGTCTCTTGTTGTCACTGTCTTTAATTTTTTATCATCTCATCTTCAGTCCTTCTTTCGCTTCGATACACATTCTTTCGGCCTTCAGTTCTGGGGACTATTCACTTTTACACACTCTTTAAGTGTAATTCAAACATTTTAGGCCGGTCCTTCTTTTAGCTATATACCAATCGAACATATTCAAACCCCCCTTTCGGCATCATGAAGTACGAAATTGCATCCCTCATTCTTGCCTTCTGTAGCCTCGCCTCTGCTGCACCAACTCCAGTCGCTGCATCAAAGAATGCATTCTCTATTCCTCGAGCAATGCTCCGAGGTCGTGAAGTTCCACAGGAACACTCTCACAACCGTTTCCTGGACGGCGTCAGAGTCAACTTGAACATAGACAACCCAGACAAGATTCAAGACCCTGTCTTTGGTCTCCTCGGAAACGCTGCCGCCGCCACTGGTGCTGGAGCAATTAGTACGGTTTTTATCTTTCCAGACCCCAGTCATACATATACTAACATTTTCAAGCCAACGTTGATTGTTTACACCAAGCCACCGCTGATCGAGCTTTCACGAACGCAAAGGCTGCTAACAACATTACCGGTATGGCTGATGCCCTTATGTATGCAGCCTTGGAGAGAAACACTGGAGGCGTCGGAACAAAGTCCGTTCTTTGCACAGACAAGGCCGTCAACCCAGAAATTCAGTCTGTCCAAGCTCACCAAGATCCTGCATCCGAGGGTGCCGCAGAGACAAACAAAGCTATCGTTCTCAACCTCGCCCAGCAATTGCAATCCATTGGAGCCGATCCACAAGAGGCTCTTCTCGCCGGTACATTTGCCCCTGGAGACAAGGCTGATAACACAGGCAAAGGAAATACATGTGACACTGCTGATGATGTTGAGGGATGTATCTTCAGTCAGAACTTGTTGGTAGAGGATGCTACTGCTGCTGAAATTACCGCAGCCATTGCCGGACAAGCCTCTGGATCTGGTGCAAGCAATGGCACTGCAAGTGTTGGCAATGGTACTGCAAATGTTGGTAGCCCAGCTGCCACCACCACTCCTTGCACATCTGTTTTCCCAACTGCTACCCCTGCTTCAAACAACAACAACAAGAACAACGGCAAAGCCAACGAGGGAGCAGCTGATAACAAGGGGGCAGCAGACAACAAGGGAGCGGCAGATAACAACGCAGCCACTGGCACCAACGTTCAAACCTTTACTGGAACCCTAGGTGGAGCTCCTCCTCCAGTCATTTCTGGCACTGGCACCAAACCATTCAGTGTCAAAGGTAACACTTTCGTTAACGCAGGCGCTGCTCTCCAACGATCATGTGCTATCCAGAACAACGCCTGTGCCGATGCCGTAAACTCTGGTAAGCTCACAGGATCCGTCAGTGATTGTGGTAAGCAAGAGGCCGAATGTAATGCTGCAGCCAAATCTGGAGCCACCCCAACACCTGCAAGCAATGATTCTGCCGCTGCCCCAGCACCTGCAAACAATGATGCTGCCGATGCCGCTGCTCCAGCTACGACTCCTTGTACATCTGTTCTCCCAAGTGCCACACCCGCCTCTAACAACAACAAGAATAACGATAAGAACAACAATGGGAACGCTGCCGCTACACCTACTCCAGTCGCTGCTACTCCGGCCGCTGGTGGTGCAAGTGGGGCTCTAGACTTTGGATCTTGCAGCAACCCAGCTATCAAGTTCGCTGATGGACTTGATGGACGTAAGGAAAAGTCTTTCCAAGCTGCCAACAACAGTGACTTCAACCACGGAAGTGCGTTGGGTATCAAAGTCATCTCCAGTTTCATCTGTCAACAACTTGACTCCAAGTGCAAGGCTGATGCTGCTACTGTTGCCGCCTGCAATGCCGGTGACACTGCTGCTGGTAAGTTATTCTTCAATCACTCTGATACTATAATCTCCCGGCTAATATTTAAAATAGGCGCCTTGAAGGGACAGGCTGCGGCAGATGCTTTCAACTCTGCTCTTGGTGTCTCTGCATAAACAAGAGAACGCTTGCCTGAGTAGGGTTGGTGCAAAAGCGGATCGGTAGAGTCAAGGGTTGGAAGAGATGATGGCGTTTTTTTGTATAGACAAAGGGGTCTATGATGAGATCTTTATATAACTTTTAACTTTGTACGACTACAGTAGTTCCGTAAGGGCACATGGTCCTTTTATGACAATAGATGCTGAAAAATAAATATGTCTAACTTTATCCTGTGTATGGTGACTTCATAGTTATTCTTCTTCTCTCCTTAGAGTATTGAGGGAGTTCTATTCATATAATCCAGAATTGCTCCGCTCTGTCTTAACCCAGTGTTTTCCCCCAAGGAACATTACTTGACATCTTTAGATAGCGACAAACGTGATTAAATAATATAGCAAGCTTTTACGTTTAAACTATAAAAGTCTAAGTGCATAATTAGTCTACAGAAAGTTTTAGATACTTTACTAGTATCCTTGATGTATAAGTAATCTCCCTTAATCCTACAAGGTAGATGAATGGTTAGCAAAGCTACCCCTTAACCCCCGTGGTTCGCTGCCCCAGATGATGTGCCGGACAGAAAGCTTGTATTCTCCATGTTGTATAGCTAGCTAGTATTTATCCTACCCATGACGCACTAGTCCCTAAGGAGCGGAACTGGCTAACTTGTTTGGTGTGTAAATATATGGTAGTATTTACTTATAAAAAGATTCCGCGTAATTTTATATCTCTAGCGCTTAAATACACCCTTGTCGTCACTGATGCCAAAGCGTAAAGTAATTTTGTATCGAGCGTTTCTGGTAAGAGAGGCTGGCATTACTCTGTATACACCTAAGTTATAAAATATTATCCTAAAGACCTCACACAACTAAATGAATTATACGAATAGTTTAAAACAATTGTTACTTTTCAATTCTTATTATACTAGGTAAAATAGGAAAATTGAGTTACTTGTACTAGAGTTTTAATATAATAACTTTTGCTAGCGTGTATAGAGCAATGCTCGTCTCTCTTACTGTTATTTATTAACTTGCCTGAGAACCAACAATCTAATTCTAGTCATTCCTAATATAGCGACAACTTTTGAAGTTTATAGAAATACTAGATTTATATGATGTCAAGTTTGCATGCGGGGTATGACAGCTTACTAATATTAAATACGCAGAATGATCGAGTTTCATGTAGGGGCACCGCATGAACTTCTGATTTATCGTCCATTCGTCACGTTACAAAAGAGGCTTATTATTAATTTCTTATATTACTAGCTAGCTTTAAATACTTAGACTTCTTATATATTATAGACTAATTAGAATGCTCTATTTAGTATAGTAAAAAGAAGTATTAATATCCTAGGCCGTCTTTAAGAGATAAAAAGAACTAGCTACTAAAGAAGATAAAATAATAATAAGCTAGAAGAAGGAGATTGACTAATTATAATCCCTGTTTAAAACAATAACTTAATTAATAATAGCGCTAATTACTAATAATTTTATAAACTAAGAGTAAAATAACCCTTAAACGCTCTAGAGGATTATCTACTAAGACGTTAAATATCGAAGTCTAAAATACCTAAATCCGAGGCTCTTTAAGTAGTACCCTAGCAAGGGCTATAATCTATATATCTTATATAATTTAGTATACTAATTTAGTAAAGGCGCCCTTATAAGGTATTAACGTAGAAGTCTCTTATAAAAGGTCTTTATTCTATATAAAAGAGTAGAGAATATAAGAGTTAAGGATCTAGGTTAAAAAGTTATAAAAGTACTATAATAAGGTATATGTCACGAATCACGTGCGCAGCACGTTGAGGAGTGAAGTTCAGGCGGCGCCCTGACAGGACGAGCACATCACGGACCCTTATAGCGAATAGGGATCGGTTAGACTAGCTAAGCGATCCAGGGATTTCATTTGGTTGTAATCACGTGATGGACCCCAGAGGATCCAGGAGGGATCCAAAAGGATCCATGGATCCAGTTGGATCCACGAACATGAAGGTTCTATATAACACTGGCACGTCTGCCATTAGATAGGAGCTTCGTGCTCAACTTAGTTATCAATCTTATCATATTA